AGAATAAGTGGACCTGCTCCCTCATCTCTTCGGTTGCGCTCTCTCGTAGCAGCCACTGGGCGTATGCTCTGTGAAAAAGGCAAAGCAGTAGCGGAATAAACTGAGTGTTGATCATTGCAATTTCTGCAGAAACTACGGGTACAGCTTTCAGCATGTGAAGAAAGACCAAAATTAGCCCAAGATGGAGCACTGGTGCACCTTTTTGCCGTATGACCCAAGCGTTGGCAGTTTTTGTTCCTCATAGCATTTGGAATGTACTGTTATACTTAACATTTATACCACGCCCCGTCAACTGTTCGCGGTAATCGATAGCGATCAAAGGTTAAAATAATCCTTCCTGTAGGAGAGCGAGTTTTTCCGTCATCATTCAGTTTGGTGAATTTATATACTTCAGTCACTCCTTGATTGCCTATTTCGCAAACAATTTCATCTTTCAGCACATGCTTTAAGCACGGGGCATAAATTACGCCTCTAACTGAGTTGAGTTTTCCATGCAGTTTAGCGGAAACAGCACATAGATTAGCTACAGATTTCAATTTTATAAGCTTTTCGGTTACGCGCGGGTTCCCAGCGAGGACCAGTAAATTCCCATCGCGTAGAATCGAGAAAGCATCTATATATGTTGTAATGCTATCAATATATTTTTGGTCAATAGGAGTGATGTCACTGATTGGCAACACTGGAAAATCGGAATTTTTAATTTTTTTTCTTTAGGGGGATGTGTCAGCTAATAGATGAAATATATTCGAGCGTCTATGTATGTTGTAATGCTATCAATATATTTTTTGTCAGTAGGAGTGATGTCACTGATTGGCAACACCAGAAAGTCGGAATTTTTAATTTTTTTTCTTTGGGGGGATGTGTCAGCTAATAGATGAAATCTCTTCGAGTTTTTATCTGCCGGCCCAGGTCCATTATGCCTTATGGTTGTCTATTATTTACTTATTTGTAAACACTCACTTGAAAAGGTTTGGTTCCATTCAGCGATTGGGTAAATGTGCTAGTAATGCATGCACCCTCACTGCGTTGACTCAAATTGCATTTCCGTAATCAACTAGGCAAAACAATGAAGCTTGCTAGAAACCTTAAAAAGATTTAGTAAACTGAAGCTAATGGACATATATGTTAATAACGCTGATATTCACACATAAAAAAAGAGAGCTACTCTAAGAAACTTTCCAAAAGAAAATCATAGTTCCTCTCCCATTGCATCCGCATGATAACAATATGTTAGGATTAACTCTACAAAAATGCTCCAACTCTTTAGAGCATAAACATATTTCGAACACCCTAATAGATTTGCTTCACAACCAGTTCGCCCAGTTATGGCACAAGGGTACATAACATTTGCATACGGGCGCAATAGTCAAAAGTAGTTGAAATAGATTCACCTAATGATTTAGAATCATTTGCTCTATGCTTGTCCGTCCGTCTATGCGCCTTGCGTTTAATCTAAAGATGGCAAAAGGCAATTTTTAAGATATTTTCACAACACTTGGCAAACATGGGTTGAGCCAATAACCAGTGTTGCTAGAAATGGTTCGAATCGCACTACTTTTTATCAAAAATAGACTCACTCGGTATTTCTAGTGTCGGAAAAATGTTAGTTAATAATATGTAATAAAAGAATTTTAATGAAAATAAAAAGTACTTTTTTCGCATTCAAAAATATGTTTTACATCTTTTTATTTAGATCAACATTGAGAAAATTCTACATAATCATAAGAATTAAAAACTATAAATCTTAAGATATATAATAATAAAATTTGCATCGCCTTAGTATAGTATTAACTAAATGTTCGAAGAGGGAGAAAAAAATTCCCAATAAATTATAATATAATATATA